GAAGAGATACCAATTGCAGACAGATACAAAAGTCAGAGAAGGAGGTAATTAACCTAAATCTGAATGATGAGAAGCCAACAATTTAGAGCCACCAAACTTTAAGAAAGGACACTGTAGGGAAAGACAAAGCATGGAACAAGACAAAGAAATATTATGAGTAAATTTAAATACTTCAGCATGGCTTAAGAATACGTACGGTATCAAAGTGGTAAACACCGAGATACAAGCAGGAAGGGAGACCTAATAATAAAGGACATCTTTGTGCGTACTATAGAGCCGACTTGTTTTAGTTGCTGTTGTTGGTAGTGGTGGTTTTAATAATCCAATCTTTAATAAAAAGCTGACCTCTTTGAATTAAAAAAATTCAAAATAATCACCACAACTACAAGAAGGAAAAAAATTCCTTCTGAGGAATTGTTTGTGGGTTTGAACCACCAGCCTTAGGCACTAGGTGACCAGAGTGCCCAACTAAATATTAATGTCACATATTCAGAAGGGACAAACTCAAAAACCAAAAGAAATCTAGAAATAAGGAAAATGCTTTACAGGAGAAATAAGATAAAGAGGGATATTTACTATAAAATTCAGAGAAAAACTCATGAGGCAAAAATTCATAAATGATATAAGAATGCTGTTATCTGTTACTTATTGTGAATTTTTTAATTAATTAATTCAGAGATATAAAAAGAAAAAAGGAAAAAATAACTTGAGGCAAGAATGACCAAACCTTATGTCACAAGGAGATGGTTCCCAAAATAGCAAGAGTAATGTATACTTTCATGAATTTTTTTTCAAAGAAACATCAGACTAACAAAGTATTTTTAATTAACTTTTGCTAGTAATTAATTACTGACAGGATGCCAGACCAGACTATAAGGTGCTTCTAGTTTTTCTATATACTGTATGCATTTCTGATAAATGGGAAAAGAATAGATGACCTGGCAGAAGACTCAGACAATAATATGTGATTTACAGGACATGAATGCAGCTACCACAAGATTTATCTGACAGCCTTCTCCGATAGTGGACTGTTGAGTATCCGATGGAATGATTTCTAGTCTAGAAAGTCTACTACTGAGTAGCCATACACATTATTTATTTATTAGATGTTTTGGGTTGAAACCATTTTTAAATGATGCACTTCACAATGCACAGTCATAAATTCAGCTTTAAACCCAAGAAGGGAGGTAGTGTTATTGGAATGTATGTCAGACTGAATTAGGATGAGCAACGCAATGCTTTTATAAAGTGGCCTTGAATGCAATGTCAATTCTTTCAAAAATGATATTAATGTCAAATAAGCAAGATACAAACAATATATACAGTGCTCAAATAATATTATTTGAAACAACTATTTAATGTTTTCTCTAAATTCATCTGGATTTTTATAAGGCTAATACACATATGTAACAACTATGGGGCACAAATGAGTTGTACTAGAAAAACTGAATCAAAAATACAGATGAGCATTTGTTCAATTTTTGTGTGTGTGTGTGTCAGAGAATATACAGTTCACTGAAGAATGTATGTAGTCTTATTATAAAGATTTAAAAATCCAAACCCACACTCTCTGCCATTGAGTCAGTTTAGATTCACAGCAACCCTACAGGACAGAGAAAAATTGCCCCACAGGGTTTCCAAGGCTATAAATCTTTATGGAAACAGACTGCCACATCTTTCTCCTGCAGAGTGTGGCTAGGTGCTTCGAACCATTGACCTTTCGGTTACCAGCCAAATGCTTTAACAAGTACAGCACCAGGCTTCCCTTAAAGATGTAAATAGAATTTAAATCAGGCTTTCAAGCTTTAACAAATTTTGTATTATTTTATATAGGATTAAATATATGAATAAATTTAATAAACATGAAATACATATTAAGTTTACTCAAAAACACTCAAAAGTAGTCCTCAGGTTACCAATACCCAACTTACATATACAAAACACAGCTATAAGCCAACCCCTGTAAAGCCTACTATATTAAAGGAGCATACAATGGTTCATAATAATAAATGGGTACTATTTTGGGACGTACATCAAAACATTACTATTATTATTACTCTATTATTATGTTAAAGATGTTTTAGTATATCAGGGAGTGTTTTGCTAATACTTTTAAAGCACAGAAAGGTAAACTAAACTCACTGCCATCCAGTCAGATCTGACTCATAGTGACTCATATTCTGTAGTGATACTGCCTTGGGTTTCCGAGTGGCTGGTGGGTTTGAACCATCAACCTTCCGGTTAGCAGTCAAATGCCTTAAGCACTATGCCACCAGAGCTCCTACTATATACTAAGACAAGCATTTGAATAACTGATATTAGATACAAACTGTATCTAACTGTTCCACATTATGTACAAATTCTACTTAAAGATAGATTTAGGAAAGGAACTAGTTTGTAATCCAGGGACTGCCTGTATTGTAATATTATTACAATCATACTATTACAACCATCACTGTAATAATATTATTGTAAGGAAAACTTTTCAACTGTAGCCACAAACAATGTTTGTCCAAACAATGTTAAAATTTAACTAGGACAAAGTAAGAAATGTTGCCTAATCAACTATTAATAAATGAGAAGACATTTATAAACATAATCCTAGTTGAAGCTTTACAGAAATATGTGGTGATCATCTGTTTAGTTTTATTGGCAGCACATCAAATGTGATCATTTCCTCATAAATTTTGGCTCTAAATTCCCTTTTGTAATGAATTATGGTTTGTTTAAACACCTTGTTAAAAAGAATGTAAAAAGAAAGTAAGTTTTGAATGGATTCAAGAAAAATAATCAGACATGGCTGATTGTCATGAATTAACACCAACTAATTTGTAAAGTTCTAAATCAAATTTGCAGATGTTAGGTTCATAAGCATATCCCATTATTTATGAGATTAAAAGGGAGTTTTTGACCTGATCTTTCGATCTTTGGCACTCAATCCTCTCCATCTCCTCTTAAAATATTAATTAAAATTTTAGCAAGATGGTAGCTTTTCACTTCCCACACTATCTGAGACTAAAAAGAAAAAAAATATCAATCACATTCAAGCCATCCCCACCCAGTATCTGCAAAATGTCTACTTGAAATTCAATTTCATATCTCTTAACCTTTCATGTAGAAAAAGACAGTTCACTTCTTAACAAAATAAATCACTTTTGTGATTGCCAAGCTGACCTCTTTGAATTAGGAAAATTCAAAGTGAAAAATGTAATTATCACCCCGGAACAATCTGTATACATCTGGAGCTAATTCTGGCTTCATTTTTCACATCATTTTTCACACTGTGCTACATCTTGCGAAGATGCCATGGAACTTTTGAAGACCTCATAAAAAATGTTCAGGACTTCAAATAACCACTAATGTATTTTATTCAGAAAAAAACCTTGAGAATTTCTGACTTTTGCAACTTACTTTACCAAGTGATCTTTGTACTCCATTTGATTAGATTAGTATTAAACAGCACTGTGACACAAATGATGAATAGGTATATTAAAGCCTATCATTCTTTATCTTCTCAGTTTTTAACATTCAAATATGTAATATACGTATCTATAGTATCTTTCATGTAACAAAAATATATTCAAATATGTTCAATACTCCTAAACTACAAAGTGAAATTTCATTATCAAAATTTACCTATGAAACAATTTTATCACTGTAAGTGACACATTTATACTTTTGTGAAGAAACATCTATAACTGTAAATGGCTGCTTCTTAAAAGGAATGGTAATGTCACACAGTTATAAAAACGGCATATGGTAATTCCACTCCAAGAAGTAAACAAGCAATTTCAAATCATATGATTTGATGGGAAATTTTATCCAGTCAGCTTTTGAAGAAGTGGAATTTTTGAAGGAGATGATTAAGTTATAATAACATGATCCTCACTAAATCTAAGAGTAATAAGCCCACTAGAAACATAACTACTCTTCACCAAGTTCATTATAAAAATCCATTAGTCGTATCTCTAGAAGTATTGTTCCTATTGCACTTTATTGACAATGCATAGTATTGATTTTTCACACCTTCTATGATTCTTTAATTTGTATTCATGAAATGTCCATCAGCACAGTCTAAATAAATTTGGCAATATAGGCACTAAAATGAATAAATCGATGCAAAGAAACATTAATTTTGCATTATCCTTATTTGTCAGGCAAGTAAACCATGAGAGTTGTAAATGAAGGTCAAAGGTTTTGAAATGGGTCAGAACCCTTGACCTCTGGACCAATACCCTTTCTATTAAAAAGGGCTATTTTAAAGTTTTAAGTAGGAGAATTTACTACCATCAAGGTATCATTTTTAAAAGACTACAAAGAAAACTCTCAATAAAAACATTCATCTGTTTAATTGGTAAACTGAAAAGAAAACATTACAGGAAACATTATTTTTATTTAGGTTTTTTAAAAATCATTAGAGTTTACTACATCAAGTACATGGTTTCTAAACATTGAAAGTAATTTTGCTTTTAAGAATTTATTTTCACACCTTATTATGATAGCTGCCTTGTTTTTGTTAAAGTTTTCCCAAATCTATTGTGTATGTCAAAAATAATTAGCCATGACAAGGATTCAAAAGTATTTCTCACTCATTTTATAACCTCTGCACAAAAGGGAAGTAAAACCATTACTCCCAAGGGAGCCACAGTGCCCCTTCACAAAGTATAGAAATAAATCTATTTCTATAAATTTAATATACACAGCAAAGAAATAATTTAGTCATCTCAAGATCAAGGTTATGTATAATCTTGACATTTTTAATTCGACTCTATAAAACTCTTATTTCCCATATCATCTAGTTAGATTTCTCAGAACTTGCTTTAAAAATCATTAATATACTAGCATCAAAAACAAGAAGTAATCCTTTTGTAACACAAATAAGATTATTTTAAAACTGCAAACTCAAAATGCTATTACAGAAAAGCTGTCTGTGTTTTACCAGTGTAAATCCATGTAAGAATTTACTTTCTTTCAATTCAGCATTTATTCTTGTCACTCACCTGTGAACACAGTAGCATAACCAATTCCACAACTGAACTACTAGACTTCATGCAAACCAGACCTATTTTAAAGAGAATAAAAAAATTACAAAGTAAGTAATATGAGACACTTATGTTACACAACTTTTTCAAAATTCGTTTTTAAAAATAAAATGTTAATATTTTGCTATGAACCAAAACCATACATATTTCACCATAAAATTAAACAAGGTACTCCAGAGCTTCTTTAAATCTGGTATCAAAACTATCATCAATTTTTGTAAACTATTTCATTCTACCTTTCAAAATACAAAAACATTTATTACAACTTCATATATAATGACATTTCACTATGCTCACAGAAATGTGCACAACATATGCCATATTGATCAATATCATCTACATTTTGTTTTGGAGAGAGCTGATCGTTATACATACAGAGAAGGGAAATGGCTCCCTGACCTTTGCTTTCTCCACCACACTCTCTCCCTTCAACTCTCTAGCTATCAATCAAGTTTCCATTTTGTTTCATGGCAGCAGACATCCCAAACACTCTTATTAGTACCCTGACCTATAACCTCACACTAAACCTTAACAGAAGTGCAAGCCGTTGTCTGTTATACACTCTTGATTTCTTATAAATTAAATTTTAAATTTTCTCTTTTATGTTTCATTATACTTCATTTGGTTCACCAAAAAATACTCTAAAAAAGGAAATTTTCTATAGTTAATATCTACATAAACAATTCTTTAGTTTTTATTACCAATAAAATCTAAAGTAGTTTACTCCAAGGACATTTTATCACCAATATCTTAAAAAAGCAATGCTAATACTTAAAAGCACTAGACTGCTATATAACATTACTAACACTAATATATATATATATATATTTTTTTATTGTATGTTTTGCTAGACAAACACTAGCTTAAGTTTCAGGATATAACATCTAAAAGAATTCTTAGTAGCCCTTAAACAATATGTACCCCCTCTTTTTTTTCTTCCCATTAAAGCTCTTTCACGTACTCTATTTCATTTCCTTTCTTTTATCTTCTTCCCATATGCTTCTTTCCCCTTCCCCTTTTTTTGTGATATCGCCTCACACCTATTGATGGTTCATGTTGGCATTTTTCAGCTTTACAAATAGCATTCAAGTTAAACAAGTTGTTTACTTCTTAGAGATGTCTGGAAATAATATATGATATAGAAATTATGATAATAGTGTTAGCATTGGCATCACAACAATCTGTAGAACATCTATATTTTCTATTAGGCAAACAGGTAATTAAAACCAGCATCATTCCTCAAGTTAATGCTGCCAAGACCCCAAAGAAGGACAAAGTATTACCCCATCTCTCATCACTCGTGTAGCCCTCTCTTGATCTGAAACTCTGTTCATCAGCTACCAGAAAGTTCAATTTACCTCATCCTCAAAATCCATTTACTCCCAGCAAATAAATTTACATATTTCTACTATTAAGTCATTATTCCTTATTACTCATCTAGAGAAATGTAATTCCTTCCCACTTTTCTTTTAGGATAAACCATTTGGGCCTTGATCTGGGTCAGATAATGAATGAACAATAGTGATAAAAGGAATCTTGGGCTCTCCAAAGTTAGAAAGATGTATAGGTATTCTTTTGTCCCTTTTATTACATATCATAGGATACTTCAATACTTAACCCTACTGACCCCAAAAAATGCTTAATGTACACATATATATTTAAATTTTAAATCTATATATATTTAAAAACACACACATACATACATGCAAACACCTTATTTCAATTTACAACTTATCTCCCACTAGTAAGTAACCCAGAGAAAGGTTGATGATTGCTACCTAGATGTAAAGATTCAACAAACAATACATCCACTGACTAGTGAGTTGAGCGCTCAGAATATTAATGCTGTTGTGCACCATTGAGTTGATTCCAATTCACAGCTGATTCCAACTCCAGCTCAAGGAGGGGTTGCTATGAATCAGAACCGAATTGATGGCAGTGAGTTTGGTTTTTTGTTTTTTAATCTTTACAGAGCAGATCGCCAGGGCTTTTCTCCCTTGGACCTCCCTTCGAACCACTGATCTTCTGCTGAGTGCTTAGCAGTGTGCCACCAGGGATCCTTACCAATTCTAGTAACGGTCAAATAAAACTTAACAGTGATGCTTTTGGTAAAGCAGGGAAAAAGAAAACCAAGGGTGATATAAGAGTAATTATTTGTTTCCTATTGAACCATTATTCTACAGGCAATTCAATGATGTTTTATTATTTTAGTTCTTGGCATAGTTAGGAATAATTGAGGAATGTTTGAAATAGTAAATGTTTTAAGACATAGGAAAAATAACATCACTAAGACCCCAGATACAGTGGCTGTGATGATGGGATCAAGCACAGCAAGGACTATGAGGACAGTACAAGACCAGTGTCTCGTTCTGTCGTCCTGGACTCACTATGAGTCAGAGCCAACTCAATGACACCTAACAACAATAAGACACCACCGTGAATCTTAGATTTAATTTATTTTAAAAAAAAAGTACAATGAATCCACATATGGTAATTATAAACAGTATAAAATTTATTGGTCTTTTTAAAATTTTCTCTCTAGTGTTTAGAAGATATCTTTAAAAAGTAAGAATAGTGAAATATTAAACCTCACAAAGAGTTATAACTACTTGGGGAAAAGTGTTAATATCACTAAATTGAGATAATCAGACAATATGTGCTTCTTGGAATGATATATTATTATTACTATTATATCTAAAAGTAATAATACTGGTTAAACACTTGCCTGATTTCCGAAAGGTTGGTGGTTCAAACTCACCAGCTGCTCTACAGGAAAAACACACAGAACGCATCCATAAAGATTTTCAGCCTTGGAAACCCTATGGGGCAGTTCAACTCTCTCCTATAGTGTTGCTGTAAGTCAGAACTGACTCAACAGAAACGGGCTTTTAAAAATCTAATAGAAGTTTTATATGCAACTTCAAGTCTTCAAAAAATATGTGGGACAGAGAAACTGTTAAACAATGTCACAACAAACAAACAGGGAATTTAAAATTTGTAAAACTCTACAGAACAACCAACTAGATTTTGTCAAGAAGACAACAGCATGGAAATTGGATGAAAAAGAGAAGGAAACTATTAGAGATTAATAAGATTACAAAAGACGCTTAAGAGATATAGCCAAATGGAATGAATAGATTTTGTTTGGATCTTGATTGAAAGAAATTAAACTACGAAGTGACATTTTTTTAGGTAATCAAAGATAAATATGGGTTGAGTGTTAGAAAATATTAAATATTTTACTAGGTGTAATACTGGTAATATGACTGTAAGAAAATATCTTTTTTAGATGCCTTATGAGGAGCTCTGGTAGCATAGTGGCTAAAGCACTTGACTGCTAACCAGAAGGCTGGCGGTTCAAACCCACCAGCCACTCCTCGGAAGGAAGGTTGGGCAATCCTACTTCTGTAGTGATACTGCCTCGGAAACCCAAGGAGGGGTCGCTATGAGTCGGGGCCGACTCAACGGCACATAACAACAACAGCAACACAATATCTGGGATTATTTTAAAACACTAAAGAAAAACAGGGGTGGACAAGGCAAAAAAGTACAGCAAATTGAAGATGGTTTGGGTAGTAACTTCATGGGTGTTGTATACTATCTACTTTTGTGAACATTTTTTAACAATAAGAAAAAATTCTAAAATTGAAAAAAATTCATAAATTTTCTAGGACTCGGTCACTTACATACATATATGGTCAATGGCAAAGACAGAATTAAAACCAAGGTCTCTTGCCTTTTTGTCTAATGTACTTTGTTCTCTGTAATGCTATTAATTAGGAAGCCATGGGTGGTACAAATGGTTAAGTATATGACTACTAGCCAAAAGGCTGGTGGTCAAATCCACACAAAGGTACCTCCAAATATAGTCTTGGAGATTGCTTCTAAAAGGTCACAGTCTCAGAAAACTCTATGGAGCAGTTCTACTCTAAACACACGGGGTCACCATGAGTTTGAATCCACTCCATAGCAACTAACAACAAAGTGATAGTTACCTCCACTCAAAACCTTTCTGTATTACAATGCAGAAAACTATCACCCATAAACACCACTCTCATCTTAAAATACACATATAACTTACATAAGAACTTAGATTTGTCTGCTGTTTTTATAAACCAGTCCAATGAACAGGTACTGCTCAAATTTATACAAGAAACACAAAAACCCTTCTTCTTTGTTACTATTTAGTTGGAATTCATTGGTAAGAAATTAATTCTAGGTTAAATTTTGTTCAGGGATATAGAATTGGCAATTTCTGATACTTCTGGGTATTTAAAGTGAACCAATTTTGTTGGATTGGTTATAAAATTCAAATACCAACTTATAAGAAGCAATGTCTTGCTGCACTGAAAGGCTATAATTAATACATACATTTTACTCACATTTTTATGATAATGAAATAAAACCTTGTTCATAAGTTTTGAAATGACTTTAAAAAATATGATAAATTTGAGAGAAACCTTATAAAACTCAACATTCAGATTTGATTCCTTTCTAATTTTATTACTTTATTAGCTCAAAGAGTCAATGGCTAAGTAAATTACATCCTACAGCAGGGAAAATACATTGCTACTCCAAACTTAATTAAATATTTCAAACAAACTGAATGCTATTTTTGACTATACAGAAATAACATCACTCATAATTAACTGGGACCTCAGGTAGCGTGGTGCCTACGGCAGCTGACTGCTAACCAGAAGGCTGATGGTTCAAACCCACCAGCCACTCCTCAGAAGGAAGGTTGGGCAATCTACTTCCATAGTGATACTGCCTCGGAA